TATCAGGGAAATGCAAATCAAAACTACAATGAGATATCACCTCACGCCCGTCAGAATGGCTATAATTAACAAGACAGGAAACAACATGTGTTGGAGAGGTTGTGGAGAGAAGGGAACTCTCATACACTGCTGGTGGGAGTGCAAACTGGTGCAGCCACTATGGAAAACAGTATGGAGATTCCTTAGAAATAACTAAATTCATTGTGAAAATTGGTATGGCCTGATTGCCTAATGGACAATTTGTTGAAAATTACAGAAGTCATTTCTGCTTTTCAAACCTCTTGGACAGTAAAATAATTTATTTCTTGATTTGAATTTCACCACTTATGAACACCCTGGGAAAACCTCGTCTGTACGAAGCACTCTATCAGCACTCAGTTACAAAATGATTTCTTGATTTGTTAGAACAATTTACAATGAGCGTGAGAAGAAGCACTTTTCTACTTTTTCTTCAGTTTTCCGTGATGGCTGGCTTCTTTCCCTCCTTGACATTCATATTCCTTCCAAATGCAGAGCAGAGAGTCAAGCTTACTCTATGGGTCATTTGAGAGGGGCCGTGCCTCTTCAGGGTAGTATGATTCTGCTCATGAGAAGGTTATTTCAGTTTCTTGCAGGAGACACTGTATAACTGAGGCTAAACTGATAAGCCCTGTAGGAACCAGCCTGGGGACAAGAATCAATTCATTTGATCCTTTATACATGCATTCGCTTGACAGACATTGAAGCCATGCTGAATTAGGTGCTGTGATCCCAGTGATTTCATAGTCTGTTATAGGAGATGGACACAAAGCAGATAATTATAATAATATAGTTATTATATATATAATATAGTTAAGTACAATGATTGAGTTATATACAGGTTATTATGGGAGAGAAGGGGCATCTAACCCAACATGGGGAAGTCAAGAAAAGGTCCCTGGTGGAGGCTCAATCCAGACAAGAAGTCCAGGATGTTTTGTGGGACACTGAGGTAGAGATGGCCCACCTCTCCTCTCAGAAGGTGGTTTGAATCTGAATCTCCTGGTTGAGATATGGGATGGAGATAAAGAGTTAGGAGTCTTTAGTATAGAGGTTAGTTAAAACAGCGGGAGTTGATGAGCTCACTTAAGGTTCTGGAGGGAAGAGCACTGGGCTCAGGATGGGAAGGGCCAGCATTTCAGGATTAGAAAGAGGGGACTGTTAAGGAAACAAGGAAGGAGTCAGATACTTACGAAGATCTTAGAAGATACTTACGAGTACTAAGAGAACAGAAGACTTGAAAATGTTTGTAGACTGAATGAAGGGGAAGGAGACAGTGAACAGAGAGAGAGAAAATCCAGGAATTGTCAGGGACAATTGGTAATGTAGGAGGCAGGAAGGGAGAATTCATTTAAAATATAATCTAATGTAACCACTTATGTGTTAAACAAATAATTACCTAAAACTTGTTTTCAAGACTGTTGTTTAAAGTAGGCCCACACAAATTAGTTGATTTCCTACATTTGTCAAAGCTACTAATTTTTATTTAGCCTAACACATATTTATTGAGCTCTTTTTTTGGTATCAGACACTCTTTTCTCACCTCAAGGGATAAACTATGAGGGATAAAAAACGGTCCAACATGGACCTGGCCTTCAAAGAACTTGCAGCAAGATAAGCCATATACCTAAATATTTATGACTCGGGGTAAAGAGAGACAAAGAAGGAGGGACTAAAGTGGGTGGAGGCAGAGAGACTGCTTTTACATTGGGGATTCAGGTGAGCAGTCGTAGTTGAGCTCAGTCTTGGAAGATGGTAGAGATGGGAGACTGTGTGAGTCTGGCACAGGGGAGAGGATGAGCAGAAGCCATCGTGAACCTCAGGGTGCTGGCCGTCTTGTGTTGTTGCCCTTGGTCCTGTCTGTCTCCGTCTCTGGACTGAGTGCTTTATGGGTGGTGCTCTCTCAGTGTTTGCTGTTTGAATTTAACATCCCTGTCAGATTACTTGTTCCACAGCCTCACCTGTGCTGGCCTTGTAAGTAAAGAAAAAACTAATTTAAAGACTAGAGTTCTTATATTTATCAGTAAAACAGGTAATACAGGTAGATTACCTTCTTGATTTTTGAAGATGACGAATTAAAACTTATAAATGAATCAAATACATGTAATTTATAACATTCTTATATATGTCGTGAAAACAGTTTAAGATAGAAGTCACAAATATGGAGATTCTTAAGGATTTTGATCAACACAATTTTTTGGGGATCTACCTTAAATGACAACATTGAAGCCAAGTTTTAGACAATTATTTTGTTAGCATGTAAGTAGTTACATTTGTTTTATACTTTGAAATGAACTATATATTTCTTTTAGGATTAAAAAATAACATTGGTGTACAGTTGCTTTAGATTAACTGAGGGTGATCTTTGAAAACGCTAGTGTTTTGTAGCTGCATCTGTGTGTTTGCTTTGATAAACTTATGGAATCAGAATACAAATTTTGTTAGTGGAATTACTTAGCTATTTTGAAGTGGTTCTATTTAGTGTGTTACCTATGATTTAGAATGGACAGATAGAAATATGAGGAGTTAGAAAAAAAAGATTTAATAGGCCACATGTTTTCTTGTTGGTCTTGGAAAAGGAAATAATTAACAGTATCTGTTAAAATAGGGTACAGTGTATTGATTTAAGAGTTACACTAGAAAATCATTCAAGGAATTAGGAAGGTAGAGGATGTTGGTCCATGATGATTTTGTATCCTTGATTATTATAAATATTTGAATTATGTATAACTTCATTTTCTCCGTTGTTTTTTTGACAGTGATATCCAAAACAAATTTGAAGTCATTTCCTGTTAGTTTGACATGTGTTATGCTTGTTTTATAAATTCCTAAATTATTTAATTTAATCTAATTCTCATTTCACAAATGATGGAAGTCAGATTAAGCAATTTGTTTAAATACCTGCAGTGAATTATTGAGACAGGTAACCTTGTATGTTAGTGGGTTGGCAAGAAAAACTCATGAAATCTCACAGGTTACATGTTGTAAATGACTAAAAATAAACTTCTACGAATTAAAATAAACCGTTTGTTTATTAAATCATTGTAAATGTAATTTCAAAATTTTTGTAAATCTTTCTGTGAGGTAAGTAAGTGAGCAAAATAATTAAATAAGAACATATTTTTTTTGTCTTTCTTCCTCCCAATAGGACCAGACATATTATCAATCATTTCAGGTTTCAGAATATGGTAAGAGTTCTTCATTATTTTGAAAGAAAAAACATTTATTACCTTTTACAGTAAGAGATAAGAGAAATTTTCAAGAGAGGTGTTATTTAGAGTAAAAATCCCAATGGAGGTAAAATCCTGGTGTTTCTTATAGGTCTAAACATTTTTTCTTTTGTAAAAATGAAAGTTATAATTAAAAGGTCACTATAAAGAATAATGAAAAATTTCCTAGAAGAAGGAATAAAGAAGAATTTCCTCCTTCTTTGTTGTGATCATAACATATTTAAAATTCTGTATGGTTTTTTTTTTTTAAACATAACAGTTATTTCCCATGTTTTTCATTTGGGTGGCACTGGTTAAGGCAGTCTGTTTAACTTGGGTCAATCCTCTTTTTGCAGGTGCCACCTTGATAATATTGCAGTTAGAAACACATAGATAAAGACAGTGTGACCCAATCATTTTGTTGGTGGATAGAGAGGAAAGAAAGATGAGAGTGAAGGCATAGGATCTCCGTATTAGTCGCAATCTGAATAGCTATTGTGAGTTATACACGAGCTTTTTCATTTGATTTGTGTCACTTTTTTGAGATTGTGTCTCATTCAGGCAATAGAAATTCTGAAAAGTAGTTTGATTATGCCTCTGTGGTTCAGGCTCTACACATCTTATACGGCACTGTCATGTGTAAGTCTCATGATCAACTAGAACAGGCATCAGCAAAGTTTTTTCCTGTAAAGGGCCAGATAGTAATATGTTAGGCTTTGTGGGCCGTATGTCGCTGTTGTAACTACTTGGCGCTGCCGTTGTAGCACAAGGCAGCTGTAGACAGTATGTAAGTGAATGTGGCTGTGATCCAATAAAATTTTATTTATGGACACGGAAATGTGAAGGTCATATAGTTTTCACATGTCATGAAATGTTCTTCTTTTGATTTTTTTCCAATCAATTTAAAATGCTAAAACCATTGTTAGCTCATGCTGGTCATTGTTTATTGACCCCTGATCTTAAACTTTGTTGTCTAATTCCTGGGTCACTCACCATGTGTGGCTCTTGAACACTTGAAGTGTGGCTAGTCCACATGGAGATGTGCTCTAAGTGTAAAATCCCAGATTTTGAAGACTTAGCACAAAAAAAGAAAAATAGCTCATTAATAGTAATTTTTTATATTGATTACATGTTGAATGGATAATATTTTGTATATATGGGATTAGGGAAAATATAAAAATTAATTTCATCTGCTTCTTTTTACTTTTTAAAAGTGGCTAGTAGAAATTTAAAATTACACCACATGGCTCACATTTTATTTCTTTTGGACAGCCCTGATCTAGAAGAATAAATCAGAGGTGGCCAAGGTTTTTATAGGCTGTTTTCATTTCACACAGAGGTGGTGTTGGGTGGTATAGTGGAGGTGGGGAATTGATTGCCCGCCTATGATGTTTGAGGAGGGATGTTTAAATTTTCTCATTCTGAGGACATTCTACCTCTGAGTGGCCCCTAACTTCTGTGCTGGTAGAGGACCTTGGCGAAGGGTCAGAGTTGACCCACATGGCCTTTGTGGCCCTCCAGTCCTAGATGGTTTAGAGTCCAGAGTATCTTGGCATACCAAGGGTCTTTAGCCTCGTCTGGAGCTGGAGGTCTGCCCTATATTGTTGACCCATTGGCCTTCTTGATACTTCTCGCGTGTTAATTGGATGGTGAGATGCCTTGTTTTGAGACTGATCTCTTTCTGTGGTCAGTGAAGTTAGAGAAAGAAAATATTTCTGTAGCCTGGAAGGAAATAAAAATTTTTTACTCTGTTGGAGTGCCTTATATCAAATAGTATTAATATTTATAAAATATTTCATATCTTAATTATATAAAGCTGACTAAAATTGGAGTTTTTAGACTTGCCTGTCAGTACCTGCCCCACAAGGAAAACCACCATTACTTTGCAGCCATATCTTAGGTATTTTCTAGCAATCCTATGATACAACTTTCTCTTCATAGCAGTCCATGACATTAGGCTGTCACCAGGTTTGCCTTTGATTGTCTCAAAGGACAAGGATTTATTGTGACTGCATGTCAGGCACATGCAGGAGAAGGAGAGTCTTGGGCTCCAAGATGAGCTGTTAGTAACCAAAGTGAAGAAAGGTTCAGGGAAGGGGCTGCTCTGGACCAGCTATTTACAAGTGGTATGGAAGTATTTTAACAAGCGGTAAGGCCACGCTGACGGGTGGCAGCCGAGTAAAAGCCTGGTCCTCCAGCACTCAGGTGCCTTTGCATCTAGGGTTCTGGATACAGTTTGGGTTCTACTACTGGGAAGCTCCCCCTGACATGAGTGTCCACAGCACCTGGCCCCCACTATTGCTGTCTAGTCACCAGCCTTGTCGGGGTGTCTAATTTTGGGTGAAGCAAAGTGCTTTTCGTCTATGTGTTAATGTGTATTTGGATTCTAATGAATCTAAATTCAAATAGTACCAATTAAGTCCTTTAGAACTATTCTATTCTTTATTTTGTTAAGCTGAAAATGATAGTAGATTCTTTAAAATATTTACCCTTGCTTTTCTTTTCCAGTATTACCAAAATTTGAAGTTGCTTTGCAGACACCATTATATTGTTCTTTAAATTCTAAGAGTTTGAATGGTACTGTCACAGCAAAGTAAGTATCATTTTTCTTTTTATGAGTATAAACTGTTATAAAACTATATGACAAAGAGCTCATTATATACTAATATAATATTAGTCCAGAATATTAGCACATGTTTTGATTATTAAAATACCCAATGGGCAGGAAATGAGTATCTGTAATAAAGAATCAAGCATGGAACTCTTTGCATCCATCTCTGCTTCCAAGCTGGTCCAGTCCTAAAATATTTCCCGCAGGCTAGTGTCTTTCTAAGACTAATCAAGGGATTTACTTTATAGATTGTGCCAGATTAAAAAAAAAAGTTGTATCTTGATTTATTCCTCATTCAGCTGACATGGATTGAGGTGACTTACCTCTTCTTAACTCTTGATTTTTGTCTCTGTCAATAATGGAGGTTGAATCTTGGGGGAGGGATTTGGTTGTCTTATTGCAATTAGCAGATAAATAAGCAATCCACATACATCGTTCATTTCAGCACATGTGTACAGAGATGTCCAGTCCACTCTCTGTGACAGATGTGTGGTGGCGCTCATGATTTTGATCCACTGGCTTGAACAGCGTAGCATTTTGTTTTATTGAGGCAGAAAGCATCCTTAGAGTTCCAGACTAGCTAGTTCCAGACCAGTTCTCAAAAGTATAGGCTGCGGTTGCCCTCAAGTAATTCCAGGTCTGATCTCTTGTAGCTTTCATTTTTCAAGTGTCAGTGTCTGAAATGGTTTCTGAAATTTAATTAGTTTCAGAATTCGTTTGCAATAGCTGATAAAAACTGCACCCCATCTCACTGCTGTCTCATCACAGTATTCCTCTCCTGGGGAGGGTTTGTGGCAGTGGCAAGCCCTGGGCAGTGAGTCTCCTGGTGGACCAAATTGTTCCAAGGACTCCTGCGTCAGATTCTATTTGGAAAAAATCATGCAAAACCCATGCAACGCAAAGGCAGAAACGTGTCTACCATTTTGGACCAAGTTCATTTTTCTGCCCGTGTTCAACTAAGAGGTAGCTTCCAATATGATTTGGGTACTGTGGATGAATTTATGGTTTAGAAAACACATAAATGCCTGTATTTTACATAATTATTATCTTGCCGATTTTAGCTGAAGGTTAAGCATTCCATCTGGGTTTTATTTTGAGTTGTTTGACTAACGCTTATAGAGCTCAGTGAGTGCAAATCCACCCCAACAGCCAAGTTTGCAGCAGTCAGGTTTTGTGTGGATACCTTCTTTGCTTCTGTTTTTAGTTTTCAAGGATGTGCCAGGGATTTAACACAATCAGTTAAAACAGTGGTTCTTAAACTCTGGTAACTCTCCAGAAAATTTTATATACAATTTTAGGGGGTGTGGATCCCCTGAGGCCATGATGTTGACGCCCTCCTCCCCTCAGCCCAGTAAGAACCCCTGTCGTTTCATCCTGATTCTCATTTGTTGGACCTTATTGAAATACTCATGGCTAAGAGATGGCCCCCTGGCATTTCTTTAGTGCTCACCACATTATACGCTCATCATCTTCCTTAGTATGTGTATCAGTCAACGTTCAACCAGAGAAGCAGAACCAGTAGGAGATATGTACTAAGAGATTTATTGCAGGGAGTTGGTTTACTTGATTGTGGGGCCAGCTGGGCAAGTGCATAGTCCATAGGGCAGGCCATCAGGAAGGGTGGGCTGGAACTCTCAGGCATGGGCTGAAGTTGCTGTCCACAGGCAGAATTTCTTCCTCTCTAGGGAAGTCTCAGCTTTCCTTCTAGGCCTTTCAACTGATTGAATCAGGCCCACCCAGAGTCTCTAGGATAATCTCCTTTACTTAAAGTCAACTGATTATGGACTTTAATCACATTTATAAAATACCTTCACCTCAACACTTGGATTAGCATTTGAATAAGTGACTGGGGACCTTAGCCTAGTGAAACTGACACATCTAAAAGACCACCTTAGTGTATTTGGTTTGTTGTGGGTAGTCAGCCTCCTTGTTGCCATTTAAAGTTCTCAGAGTTGGCTAGTTCTGATGCTAGTCCGTTCTGAATACTTCCTTCCTATGAAATCTCCTTCCTTCAGGCTTCAGTTGCCTAGGGATGATGTGTCTGGTTATGGCAAAGGAAGGTAGTTCTGTCCCAGGGCAGTGCAGACCTGTGGGAATTCGGATGAATCAACACTGATGTGGCCCAGGCCCTTTTCCCCAGAGGCTGTGAACAAACATCAGTCCTCCACTCCAGCTTCGTGAGTCCTGGGCCTACCACTACAGTTTTGGGAGGGTCGCTTTTATTCAGATTGAGGATATAATATACAACTTTGCAACAGATTAAGGAAATCTTTTGACCAGCAGGGTCTTTTATCAGTCTGTAAAAATTGGCATGGACCTATTCTATAAATACTGCATCCCAGAAAAGATGGAAATGCCACTGCTGCTCATCATCATCCTGTGTCTGGCATAATGAAGGCAACATCTCTCCTCCTTTCGGAGGCCCATCCTCCCACGTGGGCCTTGGATTCTGTCTCCTGTCAGGAGCATCCTAATGCCATTCCCCTCTCACCTGTCCCAAAGTGTCTCGACTTCTTCCATTGGATATCTTTAACCTTTTGTTCATTAGTGGCACCTTCAGTCTGTGTTTAAACATCTGTCATTTCTATCTGACAAGAAACAAGCCCTCCCTTGACCTGCATCCCTCCTTCCAGCCACTGCCCTATCTCTCACCTCTTCACAGCTGAGTAAGAGTTGCATTTTCAACTTCTTCACATTCCACACCATTCTTCAGCCTTTCGCCCACACCTTGCCGTTGAAACTGCTTTCACCATGGGCACAAAGACTCCTTCTTGCTTAATCTTGTGGGTACTTTGTTAAGCTTTTACAACTTTTTTCCCCTTTGCAGCATTTGACATTGTTGTCCTCTTCCATTGCCTTTCTGGTTTTTCTCTTTTCCCTTTGGCTACTCCTTTGAGACTCTTTGTAGGCAGCTCTCTTCTGTCCATCTTTTAAAAGTTTTGTTCATCAGAGCTCCGTTTGGGCTCTCTGCTCTTCTTTCTTTACACATTTACTCAGAGTTTTCTTCTCTATGGCCAGGGCTTCTGCTACCATTTATAATTTGATGACACCTAAATCCATATCGCCAGCCCACATTTCTGTCTTGAGAATCAGACTGACAGGCTCACTGCCCACTGGACATTCCCCAGTGGGCATCCTACAGATACTTTAAACTAAACCTGTCGTCTTCCCCCAAGCCTGATTCTTCCGTGCCTCCCTGTCTTGGTGGACTGCACCACCATCTGTTTAGCTGCCCAGGTCAGCTGCACTCTTCCCACTCCCTCAGCCCCCATATCCAACCAACATCCGCTACTCTTGGTTCTGTCTCCTTAGTGTCTCTCAAGTCCATCTCCATTGCTACTTTCTTGATTCGGGCTAACATCATCTTTCTCTCCTCAACTACTGTTATAGTTCCTTAAAAATTTTTCCTGACTCCAGTTTTACCTCTTCCAATCTTTTCTCTATACTGTATCCAGAATTTTGTCTCCTCCTCCTCCTTCTTTCTCCTCCCCTCCTTCTTCTTCTTCTTGCTAAAAGGCAAATCTAATTTTATGACTGTTTTGCATGAAAATTTTCAGACCATTGCCTTGAGGGTGAAGTTCAAATTCTTTAGTATATCTTCCAGAATTCTTTTCTAGTTTCATGTCTTTTGAAACATCCCACCCAGCCCCTTCTCTACCCTCCCAAACTCTACTCCCAAATTTTACTTGTGCTTCCAAGAATGCAAAATGATTTTTCTGACCAGTAGGCCTTCACCTGGCAATTTCAAGGCTTGGCTGCTTGTCCCTAGCCCTCTCTCATACCTCTCACAGCACTAGTCACGCAGTGGTGCTGTTTGCCAGTCCACCTCTTTGAGGGGGGTTCTGTGTCTCGTTTGCTATGCACCTTGGTGCCTGGTACAGTGCCAGCCATGGAGTAGGCATCCGGTAAATACTTACTGACAGAACAAATGGATAAACAATGTGATCCCTAAGATTTCAGTTCCGAGCTGTATGTAGCATGGCAAAGGTCTTCATACCCAATCAACAGCCTGCTATTTGGAGTGAACCAAATTAAGTCGTACGGGCAGCAGGTTTGGTGTTTGTCACCGAGTTAGGGATTAGAGAGTAGGACTTGAAATCCAGTTGTTCCTTGGGTGTATTTTGAAAGATGAGTTCTGTCATCTTACGACTTGGATGGTTGTTTTTAAGTTATAGAGATGATTTTTAAATATTTGTTTTGTATTAGCTATTATAGTCATCTCTATGAGTGATGATAGACAATTTAGGTTACTCCTTTGCCGGTAGCCATCTGTCCCGTCAAGGCATAGTTAATATGCAGAGGATTGCTGGACATTTCCCAAAGAAGGTTAATAGTCTTTTTTTTAGTTTTGAAATCTTTAACTGAGATGAATAAAAATCTAAATTTCTTTATAGCTTTGATGTGAACATCTGCTCACTATTCACACTTCATTAAAATAAATAGACTCTTTCTCACTAACCACAGTGGGTTCTAGAGGATGATGAAGAAAATAACATAGCATACATCTAGTTACTTCCATAACTTCTGCAGAATTTCTTCAAATAACTTCTCCAAAAATTCTGTAGAATTTTTAAATTATTATTTAATCTAAGGTTTATTAAAATGTGTTCATTATTCGATGACTTGAGACATTTGTATCCTGGAAATGACGTGAAAAAAAAACGTGGGGAGAAACATGAATTACACTGATAGGTTCAATTTTTTAGGTATAATTTTTTAACCCTTTTGTGCTATGGCTGTTTTCTGAAAAAGAAAAATCCTTGTTTTGTTAATGATACTATACCAGAATATCTTTTTTTTTCTCCCCCCCCCACCCCCAAAGCCCCAGTAGATAGTTGTATGTCACAGATGCACATCCTTCTAGTTGTTGTACATGGGACGCGACCTCAGCATGGCCAGAGCAGCGGTACGTCGGTGCGCGCCCGGGATCCGATCCCGGGCCGCCAGCAGCAGAGTGCGCGCACTTAACCACCAAGCCACGGTGCCGGCCCTATACCAGAATATCTTTGATTTGCTTTTTTAAATATTGTCAAGCTATTATTTTCCGACTACTTAGTTTATCCCAAATGCTTCCAGGTTCTACTTAGGACAATAACTGTTAGTATCCTTGCTTCACTTAATTATAATCAGCTTGGTGCTTGGAAAGCTAAATCTGCTTCATGTTTAAATCAAAATAAAAAATATTTATGTCTGAGAATACTTTAAATTATGTATGGGTTTTCAAACTCTCTGTACTATCATGTGATATAACTCTTTTAAAATACGATGTTCTGGTATTCCAGTTATGCATTTATTTAATCTTTAACAAGATACAAGCAATGTCAGATTGAGACGCTCTTTTGAATGAATAAATTTGATGCTGAAGTTGCTAACCAGGGTTTTCACTAACTTTGCTATTTTTGTTCAGAAGGGTGGTGCGTTTGAAGATGGATTTGTTTTATTCTTCTTAATTTGCAATATGTTATATTTTGCCATTAGCTTTTGAGTTGAGTTGAATCAGACGAGAGGCTGTTTCTGTGTTCAACTAATGGATTCAGGAACCAAGAGTTTACTGTTGGATTTATAGAGTGCAGAGCAAAACTGACATCCATGTTTGGCTGAGCATTTCACAACAGAGATGGAAGGAACCCAGGAAACATATTTTAAAAAAGGCTTTCTGGCTGTAAAATAGTTTACCAAAGATTGGCTCTCCTTCACATGAAGAGACATTCCCATCATGAGAGAGGATAAAAATAGTACATAGAATGCAAAGAAGCAGAGATGAGATTTGACTCAAGAAGATGATTTTTGTACTATGGATAAAGAAAAACTACTCTTATTTAAATTTTCCTTCAAGAAACCAATTTTTGATAGCCACGAGCATGTTTGGTGCCTCAGCATGTTTGGTCTAATAAACCCTCCTGGTTAACGTTGGAATGCGCAGCAGTGGGCCAGGGCGGTTGCAATTTCAACTAACATCTGAACATGTGCAAAAGCTGTGAAGTCTCCTGGGCATGCAGTTAATGGGCTGGTCCAGATTTCTAGGAATAAAAGATTTTCATAGGGGGCCTGTCCACTGGCGTAGTGGTTAAGTTCGCACGCTCTGCTTCGGTGGCCCAGTGTTCGCAGGTTCGGATCCCAGGGGCGGACCTGTGCACCGCTTATCAAGCCATGCTGTGGCGGTGTCCCATTTAAAGTAGAGGAAGATGGGAATGGATGTTAGCACAGGGCCAATCTTCCTCAGCAAAAAGAGGAAGATTGGCAACAGATGTTAGCTCAGGGCTAATCTTCCTCACACACAAAAAAAGATCTTCATAATCTTTTAAAAGTGTTGGACAGAAAACTATCGCTTCCAATTATGATCAGATTTTCTCTGAGGTCTCTAAGATGGCTAGAGGCTAGGTAAAGTGTGTATTATGAACTGTTTTGAGGTATTGTAGTTAAAAATCTTCCCGTTTTGGAGCCTTAATTTCAGGGCTCGCCATTTATTAAGGACATTCCTACCTTTGTCTAGTTTTAAACATTTGTAGTGAGAGTATATTTTTAATATAATTCTTTTAAGTTGAATTGCCAGTGTATGCTACTGACAGTAATATTTTCGTTGTGTTATTTTGATAATTTCAAATTGAAAATGTAAAAAAATCCATTTATTATTTTTCAGGTATACATATGGTAAGCCAGTGAAAGGAGATGTAACACTTACATTTTTACCTTTATCCTTTTGGGGCATGAAGAAAAATATTACAAAAAAATTTAAGGTAACTTTTGCAGATATCTTGTAACTTGTAATGGGGAAAAACTGTAAGTGTACTTTTTCTAGAAATAAGATTTTGTACTTAACAAAAAATTGGGTGTAAGGAAATCAAGAGCTTTCTAGCTTTGGACAAGTGAGAATTTACCCGTTTATAGTAATTAAAATGGAACCAGAGCCATTGTATTGTTGTGACTTAGTTTGAGTTTTATTCCTCAATTTTGAATTACTAAAGTGAAGAATAAAATTGAAATTTTTTAACAAAACAGATAAATGGATCTGCAAACTTCACTTTTAATGATGAAGAGATGAAAAAGGTAATGGATTTTTCGGATGGGCTTTCTGAACACATGTATCTGTCTTCTCCTGGGCCGGTAGAAATTTTAGCCACAGTGACAGAATCACTTACAGGTTTGTAGACTTTGACATGAAGGTAACACTTACATGGTGCTGCTCTGTCGTCTTCCTTATTATAACTGGCACATTCACTTGGGAGCATCCTTGCCTTTCTAAAGCCGTGATTTAATGCTGAAATTGTCATGACTATTAATTAGTCTAGCTTGCAGAATGCTTTCATAATGAAAGGGAAACTTATTTTCTATGAAAGTCTGTACTTTAACCACACGTGATAGGTATTTGTAATTTTTTCCATTTCTACTCTTTCTTTTCAGCCTGAAGACGACATGGGAAGGTCTACCTTTTCAGCTGACTAACCATCTTCTTTTTTTTTAATCACTGAACATCTTCTGAAATCTCATCTGCTCCTAGATAGTTTTCTCTTTTAATAATAAAATGAAGGTTAATTATTTGGATCTTTGTGTTGCTATTTCAACAGCTTAGACCAATCCCTGAAAGAACAAAGGACTGTTCTGTCAGGGCCTGAATCTGCTGGTGCACATGTCATGGGTGGGGATGGCAGGAATGGTGCTTAAGAAAGGATCTGTAGAGGACATAATAGAATCTTATGGTGCTCCTAGTGGTCAAGCCAACATGGGAATGAGCCTTCTGTGCCCTGCTATCTTAACCCTTTGGGGAAGTACCTCAGATGGGGAAATTTGGTGGATAGAAGCTGTTGGTGAAGTATAACTTTTGCTTTCTAAATGGTGCAATTCCAAAACAGGTATCTCAGGAAATGCAAGCTCCAATGTATTTTTCAAGCAACATGATCACATCATTGAATTTTTTGATTATGCTACTATCTTGAAGCCATCTCTCAACTTCACAGCCACTGTAAGTTGGCATATTTATTAATGATCTAAAGCAGTATGTTCAATTTAATGAAACACAATGGGAAATAATATTTTCAGTGCATTTCAAAAAATTTAAACCAAAAGTAGATAGATTACTTTTCCCTTTTAGATATATGAGGTGTATAGAATTGTTTCCAAATGACCTTTGTCTAATTTTTATAAAAAAGTAGTTTCCAACAAAATTATTTTCCTCAAAATTTATTTATTTATTAATTTTTTTGATAAAGAAAATTTGCCCTGAGCTAACATCCACTGCCAATGTTCCTCTTTTGTGCTTGAGGAAAATTCGCCCTGAGCTAACATCTGTGCCCATCCTCCTCTATTTTGTATGTGGGTCGCCTCCACAGCATGGCTTGATGAGTGGTGTAGGTCTGCACCCGGGATCTGAACCTGTGAACCCGGGCTGCTGAAGCAGAACGCACCAAACTTAACCACTATGCCACAGGGCTGGCCCCTCAAAATTTATTTAATGAGCAATTTAAGTTAGATTTGGATTGCTACATTGAAGCTTTTATAAATTAATTGAAGGAATTAGGTGCTAGTCAAAAAATTTCAATTTTAATTTGATTTTTATAATCACTAATTTTAGTTCTAGCAAAGATGTAGCATTAAAAAATTATCAACAAATCTCATTTTTTTTTGAGGGAGTACTGAGTTAACACTTATTAGTTGGGTAAGTTTTGACAATGTACAAGGCATGGTGCTGGATGGGGCTCACAGGGCTGAGGATGCCCCAGTGCACACCCTGGATTCACAGTTTTCCTGATGGTGACAACAAGATATACACACAGCAATAAGGCAGGATAAGAGACAAAAGGACAAGACTTGGTGTATATTGGATTTGGGGGGTGGGAAGAGGGCAAGGAAATTCAGAGATGTTAAGTCTGACAGAATTGTAGCCTTAGCAAAAATAGGAAAGGCGAGAGGCTTGCTCAGTGTTAGATGTACTGAATTTGAGATGACAGAGAGGTACAGGTAGACATTTGCTGCAGGGAGTGGGAGGTGTTGAGTGCGAGTTTCCAGAGCAAGGTGAGGATGGCAGTAGGAGTGCTGGGACCTTTGAGAAAGAGAGAACAGACAGCTGCTGATTTGACCCTGACAAATTCCCACATTTAGGGAGAGGGAAGAGGAACCAAAAAGGACACTAAGGGGATGCAGCACGAGGGGTTTGAAGTGAAGAAGGTTGTTGTGGAGCCATGGAAGGCAAGAGAAGCCATGATATCAAGAAAGGAGTGGTCAGTGGCATCAGATGCCTCCAAGAGACACCACTGAGTCTGGAAGTTAGGGTGCTACCAATAATTTTTAAGAGTTCAGTTTCATGGGAATAGCACAGGTGGAGACTGGATTCAACTGAACTTAAATCCTTTGCTTTTCTTGTTACCTGTTACTTAGGTGAAGGTAACCCGTTCCGATGGCAATCAGCTGACTCCTGAAGAGAGAAGAACTACTGTGGTCATAACAGTGACACAGAGAAATGATACCGATTACTGGAGCAGGTGGGACAGTGGAAATCAGGGAGCAGAAGCTGTCCAGATTCTAAATTATACTGTCCCCCAAAATGGAATCTTTAAGATTGAATTCCCAATCCTGGATGATTCCAGCGAGCTACAATTGAAGGTGCCATCTGTTTCCCATCATTATATTACTGCAACAACATCATTAAAATTGTAATCTTGTGGTAGGCACTCAATTTGTTGGAGGTCAAAGTGCACAGGAAGTGGACACATGTTTCTCTTTTAAAAAAGGACGAAAGTGTTAAAAGTAATTTAATGACAGTGGCTGAGGGTTAGACTGAATGCTTCTGTGTGAGTTCATTTTGGAGAGCTGGTAAAACAGAGCAATCTGCAGGATGGTGGAGAAGCTCCCCAGACTCCCAGGCTAGGTTGATTTTCAGTCATTTGAAATTGTATTTTGGCAAGAGCTGAAATGAAAGAGGAATCTGTTCTTTTACACTTCTCTTCCTTTGCTGAGCTCAAGGTGGCTTGCCTGAGACTCCCCAGCCATTCCTGCTCCCTTTCTTTTGGTCCCTCAGCTCTGCCACGGGGTAGTCTCTGAGGTTCACTCTGACTGTCAGTGGATTGAGTGTGCTGATGCCGTGTCTTGCTTGTAGATGAGCTCTGTGTTCTGGAGACAGGGAAAGGAGCCCTGTTTCATTTCATTTTCTTTTCTTACAGTATTTCCTGATAATATACTTTTGTATCTGAATTAAGTCAGGACTGTACTTTTTCCTCTTAGATTATAGTGATGAAGGCCCTCCTCCGTGTTTTAAAGCTGTCACTTTCTTTATAGAAGAAGCTATAAAATGATGGAGATCCAATATCTGGGGAGTGTATTTTTCCTGCATGGAAAAAAAGTAGAAGTGAATTTGCCTTTCAGTGTTGTTCAGCAGAGAGCATCTTTTCTCAGGGTATTACTGATGATGAAAAGTTTATAGCTCCCTTCTCTCCTGTTCTGTTCTAGGCCTCTTTTCTGAACAGCGTGAGCTCCATGGCAGTTCATGGTATGTTTAAATCTCCTAGTAAAACATATATCCAGCTAAAAACAAGAGACGAAAATATAAAGGTAATGCTTAGGATCACTTGGTAATTACAATATAATTGTACTCTTTTGCCGTTAATACGTGTGTATTAATTAAGATTTTTTTCTAGGTGGGGTCACCTTTTGAGTTGGTGGTTAGTGGCAACAAGCAGCTGAAGGAGTTAAGCTATATGGTAATCTCTTATGGAATCTAAATTTATGATCTATTATAGAATCATCTTAAATGGTGTCTACCTTATGTCTAGACTAAACCTACAATTTTTAAAATTCAGCCTCACACCTTTTTATATTCAGCCTGTGCTTTTTCTCTTGCAATCAAAATATCTTTTTTTCTTTTTTCACCTATATTTGCATTTCCAATTAAGATGGATAATTAAATCTTGTATTATGTTTAAAATTTAAATTTCTAGTAGATAAGCCATACACGTTCATTGTAGAAAATTATAAAATATAAGAAAAACCAAAAAAAACAAAATAATTGCCACCCACAGCCTTGTGATTTTGCTCATGCAGCTCTCCCAGTGGTGCTCTGTGTTCCTCCCCTCAAGGATGTGTGCCTGACTGTGCAGCTGCTGGTGCCTCAGTCGGTGTGGCTTTATCTTGTCCATTTCGGTTTCCCAGCTTATACTCTCTTTGTTGGTCAGGGAAGTTTTCTTGCATTCAAAAAGGCTTTGAAGTTGGTTTAAGTCAAGAATTTGTGTGTTTGGTTCAAATTATGATACATGTTCCTGCTGTTGAGATTCTCACTAGCTTCAGCATAAAATAAAACTCGTCTGCTCCTCTTTTCAGGTGGTATCCAGGGGACAGTTGGTGGCTGTAGGCAAGCAAAATTCAACAGCTTTCTCTTTAACACCAGAAAATTCATGGGCTCCAAAAGCCTGTATAATTGTGTATTATATTGAAGATGATGGGGAAATTATAAATGATGTTGTAAAAATTCCTGTTCAGCTTGTTTTTGAAAATAAGGTAAGATTTAAGGTAATGATGTTAAAAAGAAAACTTCATATGAGTGAAGTCTGAGAAATGTAATATTTCTTTAAAAAAGTATCATTAAACCAAATTAGTTAGAAATTTCTATTCCTTTCTAATACTATGATTGAACCTCTTCATATTTAGTTACTATATATGTATTTTCAAATGTGGGATTTTTGTGCCCTGTGGGTCTTATTGGTAAGTTTTAGATTCTTGGCTTTAAGACTTGAACTCAAATACATGAAGCTATTTCAGGATTTCCAAATGGTGGAGTCAGTATGGCTCTGGCCTGGAATTGTAGTGGCAATATACAATTGTGTGGTGTTGATAATGGTGTGAGAGTGAAATGAAGGTTGTGGGACGGAGTGAGGCCATTTGCAGTGATATGTGGAAGCAAAGTTAGCCTTTGGATTATCACTTTGATCAGCCTGGAAGCTAACTCAGGACAAATTTACAATAAGCTTGGTTACCTTGCATGTGGAGATCTGTGTGGAGTTTGGTCTCCAAACAAACCAGTGATTTTTATAGCCTAAAGTATATAGCTTGTGTAGGAAACTGCCTTGGACCCCAACTCTGAAAAGTAACCTAATTCCAAGAGTGCCAGGTGGAATCGATATTAAATGAGCCATGCATATGACTTATGCATACTAAAATGAGCCATTGTTCTCACTAAAAGCTTCTCCTTCTCAGGTCCTCTTAAGCAAAATAATCATTGTTTTAAAGTAGTGATCTGCAACATATTAGGCCACAAAACAAGTCTCCATAAATTTAAGAGGATTGAAATAATACCAAGCATCTTTTCTGACCACAACGGTATGAAACTAGAAATCAACTATAGGAAGAAAATCAGAAAAGCCACAGATACGTGGAGATTAAACAAAAAGCTACTGAACAACGACTGGGTCATCGAAGAAATTAAAGAAGAAATCAAAAAATACCTGGAGACAAATGAAAATGAAAATACGACATGCCAGAATTTATGGGATACAGCAAAAGCGGTTCTAAGAGGG